TATGAGTTGTTATATGAATCATATATAATTTTATTTTTAATAATGCAATTATATGATAAATTAATTGAAGAATTTTAAAGGTATTCACTCATTTCTTAAGGTGCAACATGATTGCAACCGTCGATGTTCATAATTCTGGACATACAAGACGTTTACGTTTCTCTCTCCACTAATTAATCGTTTTGCTTTATGAGATTAGTTATGTATAATATAAWTATCTTTTGGGCTTTCTTTAATTTACTTGCTTTATATGTGTTAAAACAATATATTATAGATTGATTTTTTATGATACTCTTGATAGTTCTTTTTCTTATGCCAAAACTTTTATAAGTTATCTTTTGGTTGCGTAAGTGTTCATTGCTCAATTTATTGTCAATCCAAATAGCCCTACAGATTCCTTTTTACAACAAAGCAAAAAAATGAAAAGTTGAAGTTAGATTAATGCAATGTCTTAGGATTGACTCATCRTATATTTTAAGTTTTCCAATATGGTTCTTTTTTGCTTCTTTCAATTGATTTTCTTACATCAATGTAAGTTGAAATATTTGAAGGAGACATATATTTATGTGAAATATTTTTTATTTTTGAGTGTGTCAAATTCCTTGATATTCCCGTGTTATTATTACTTATTTTATTTAGTTTTACAACTTTATTCTTAAACAAATCTCTCTCTCAATGTGTGTGTATATATATATATATATATATATATATTAAAATTTCACTAATTATATTTTATTTAACTTTTTAGAATTATTTAAATACTATTTCTTGATAATTCTATTAACAACTAATACATATTTATATAGACAATCTTCAGATTATTAATCAAAGTACTCATGCTACCGTGCAACGCACGGTTCCCATACTAGTTAGTTTAATTAAAGAATTGTAAACTAATCAACTATTTTTTAGCTTTTCCTTTTTAAATATTCAAATTGAAATATTTTATCTATCGTTCTATTTTTATTGTTTTTTTTTATAATTAATTAATTTAAACCGTTTTAATATTTTTTATACTACACTTTTGACGTTATTTGTGTTGTATGTTGGGTTTAAATTTAAAACATAGAAAAAAACAGGGCACATATATTTAAAATGTTATATAAGTTTTTCTTGCATCCATTTTATCATTAAAATTGCCACATTGTTGTAATTTTTTAGTTATAATAAATACTTAGGTAAAAGCACGGTTTTTTTGGGTTTTATTTTTGAGTTAACCAACGACGTTATCTGAACTTTTATTTATTCGGTTAAGAACCAATCTCAAGTTCAAAATTTTGCACCAAAACGAATTTTCGCTTACAACCCGTCCTTTGGCCATATCGTTTTTTTTTTTACCGGTTTTTCTTCCAAAAACAATTGACCATTCCTTTAATTGATACCGATGATTTGATGTAACATCAAAAGTAAAATAGATAAAATTTTTAGAGAATTAAAAAATATGTGTTGTTCATGTTTTTGATATGCCAGAAAGATGAGAGGGTTTTTGTCGTGACATTGTGATTAGGTTCAATTATTTTGTGGGAAACATGACATCAAGCCATGTCAATGATATTGATATTTGATTGTTAGATTAATTTTTATAAAAGATGGTCATGGAACACAAATTTAAACTCAATATTGTAATTGCTAATCTGATTGTTAACTTTGTATTAATGTTTTTTTTGGTGATATATATGGCACAAATCCAGTTACGATCTGTGGGTTTTTTCTTCGTCATAGTGTAAATTTGTTGTGTATCATCATATATATCTATATTTGTTTCTTATAATTAAATAGTGTCATCAAAAAAAGTTTGTAGATGATCAATTTATATACTAATATAAATAATAACTAATATTATAATTAAATTTGGTTGAAGAGTTGAAGAACGATTTGAAAGGAATAAAACTTAAATTTTGTTTTGTAGTTAATGGAGTACTTATCAATTAATAAATTTATACTTAGTTAATATTTTTGTTGTTTTTGAATTATTAGTAAATTTAAATACAAATATAATTATCTTTATAAAAGATTTAATTTTATTAAATTAAAATAAAATATTTTTAATTTTATTATTATAAATTAACAAGTTAATATTTTCATATTAAACTATGGTTACAATTATTTAGTTAAAGTTATATTGGATTGGAATATAGTTTTATGTTGATGTAACATCAGAGAGTAATCGATCAAACACAACCATCCATACTAATAATTTTACCACACCCGATTAAAACCGTAATTAAATAAATATTCACTTTATCTTAACATTTTCATTTATGTTTGTTCCAAAATAAATATCCACTTTTAAAAATGGATAACTAAATTTACAAAACTATCATTAATTAATGCCCAATGATCTAAGAGCCAATAAGATAAATTAAATGTCATTTTCTATACATATTGACCTCAAAATCAACCAACAAAGTCATGTAGCAGAACAACCTCATGTATTTCAATATAAACGTTCATTAATGATAAGATTTTGATCGAGGGGTTATTTGTATTTTTTAATATTTGTGTGGTGTTTTTGCAATATGATTAAATTATCAAAGTAGTTGATGTAATTTTGTGTAATTGCTTAATCAATGAGCCTACTACCACATATCACATGCTTTCTTTCATTTTCATACAAAAATTGTTTCGGTAAGATTTATCACATCGTTGCTTATAAAAGGGGATTCAACTGAAATGGCTATTTTTTTGTTGTTGTTATAATTGGTCTGTTAGTCAATTTAGAGAACTTCTTAAAATGATTCATTAGGAGAGGAAAAATAATATTTTATTATTCTCGCCGAAATGTCTAGCAAAGAGAAATAATATTTTAATAATATAATTAATGTTGTAATCTCTGAACAAAGAATCTGTTAGAGTTTGATCTAATTTTGGAGATTTTGATTTTTGACTATCATTTTTGAAATTTTTTTAGAGAATCCATTAAAAATGCTCTAAAGTTTTATAATTACATTAGACTCGCGCTCTATTTTTGGTGTAAGAACTGATTAAAAATCCCTAATATTTTTTAAACCATATGATATAAAGTTAAAATGAACCAAGGGGTTATTTACTAAAGGTTTACCATTTACTGATATCATTTACCTTACTAATTGAGTATCACAATGATCAAGAATCTTACCATGTATCTTACATAATAAGGACCAAGAATTTTACACGACAAATGAAAAAAATAATAATCTTATCCGGTAAAACAATCTATTTTAATAACAAAAAATGTTACATGAGAGCTGTTTACTCGACAGGTGTTTTTGGTAATCAGCCTCTTAAGAATTTATTCATATTTATGTGCCATCATGGTTTTAAAGAGCATATACGTTAACCAAAAAACATCTGTACATATGATTCCGCATGAATTTTTTTCGCGCAGAGGCCACAATTTTTAAGTATGTTGCAGCACAAGTCTTTTAAAATAATCCAGTTCTGAGACATTCCCACAACTACAAGCATAATTCATCAGGTACAACACGGCTCTCTATTACAGGCCTAAGCAGATACAGTTTTTGGCTTGGCCCCAATCTTTCTCCAAGAAACACTGGGCATGATCTGTTTGATGTCGACTCGGTCTTTGAACTGAACAGCAACGTTGAGTAGTGAGTCGAGAAGTGAGTCCGAAAGGAGATGTGGTTGGAGTCCCAATTCAATGAGTTTGGTGTGCTTGGCATTGTAGTAATGTTCCTCTGCTTCAACTCTTGGGTTGGGCACAGATGTGGTTTGCACTTCTATTCCAAGCTTCTCTCCAGCTTTTGTAACGAGTGACGCAAGTTGGTTCACAGAAAACTGCTCTGTAAATTGATTAAATACCCGAAACTCACCACGTTTTGCTGGATTTGCAATCGCCAGCTCCACACACTGGACTGTGTCTCTTATATCCAGGTACCCTCGAGTCTGTGTTGCAAATATAAAGCGTCAAGAGACATAAGTATTTCTTGGTAAAAAACGCCATCTGTTAAGCTAACTGAAGGGTAAAATTAGAGACCCGGATACAAGATTGTCTAAAGCCATGTTTGGCGACCATAAGCTAGCTTATTTTTTGAGCTTATATAAAAACCCCAATTGGTTAGCCATAAAGCTAGGTTTTTAAAAAGCTACTTCAAGTAGCGTTTCAATATCCTCCAGGGGCATTTTTCCAATTATGCTCTTTATCTGGTAGCTTTTACCAAATAAGACTAGTTTATAGGCCAACCGCCATAGCCTAAACATCCCAAAACCCTATAACTCCAGCATCCTTAGGCTTTGTAAATGACATGATGTTAATCAACCATGGTCCAGTAGTTAAGTAACCATTCAACATGAAAGAACCACCAAACTGGATCTCAATTAGACATTCAAAAACCTAAAAGAAAGCACGGAAAGCATAACAGAATTTGCAAGATTGAATTAGCTTTTAGGTTAGAGATCTAACCTGGCCTCCTTTGCCATAAACAGTAAGGGGATGGCCAACGGCTGCCTGAACACAGAATCTATTCAACGCTGTTCCGAATATTCCATCATAGTCAAATCTGTTGTAAAGTTCTTCATGCATCGCGGTCTCATCTGTCCTCACACCATACACCACACCCTGGTTCAAATCAGTTGCTCTTATCCCCCACGCCTTGCAAGTAAACGCGATATTGTTTGAATCATGTACTTTACTCAAATGGTAGAAAGAGCTAGCTTGTTTCGGGTAAGGTAAAGTGTCTGTTCTGCCATTATGAGTTATGGTTATATATCCCTCCTCAATGTCTATATTTGGTGTTCCGTATTCTCCCATTGTCCCAAGTTTCACGAGATGACAATCCTCACCATATTCCTTTATAGCAAATAAGACATTAAGTGTGCCAAGAACATTGTTCTGTTGGGTGTACACAGCTCTTGATCTGTCGATCATGGAGTAAGGTGCAGATCTTTGCTCTCCAAAATGGACCACAGCATCGGGTTTGAAGGAAGTGAATGCCTCTGATAAGAACTCAAAGTCACAAACATCACCAATATATAGATTTATGTCTTTTTCGGTGAGCGATCTCCATCTTCTGATTCGGTCATGAATGGATGCAATGGGTGTAAGTGAATCAAGCCCAAGTTGGTCGTCAAAATGGCGGCGAACAAGGTTGTCAACAATAGCAACTTCATAGTTTTTGTTGGATAAGTGGAGGGAAGTAGCCCAACCACAATAACCATCCCCACCAATAACCATCACACGGGTTGGCCTTGACTGTTCACCAGAGCTCTGGTCAGAGCCAGACCCAGTCTTTGTTTCCGCTTGTTGAAGAGTGGTTGCACATACTGAAAAAAGTCTCTGTGGATTCTTTCTGTGTATGGAAAGGCTTCTGAATGGTTCAAATGAAGTACGTAAAGTGAGTGAAGTAGGTAATGAAGCTAAACTTTGTTTCAATGAGTTGGGGCCATTTTTGGGGGATGAGGAAATGTTCAATGGGCAAGAAGTGGAAAGTAAATGAGCCATTTTCACATCTATTTCTTTTCACCCTGTCTTTGCTATATCAGTACCTACAATATGTAAAACACAGATTCTCGATGGTTAATACCAAAAGAAGTTGAAGCCAATTAAAACGCTTTTATTCCCGCATTACAATGCACACCCAAATAAGAGGTTATGTTGAACGTACTATTATTTCCAAATGCCATTACGACAGAGTTTTGGAATTTGCATCATCATGAAATCGAAACTCACTTTAACTAGTGATATCCAGCCAGTTACTTCTAAACTTCAAACCAATATCCATATGAATGGTTATATTTTTCTAGGAAATTGCTACCAAATTTACATATTCTACTCCATGAGATCCAAAAGAGAAGAGAAGCATTATACTTTCAGCATTAAAACCTAGTACTCTCCTGATAGAAAAACAATGGATTTTGGTAACATATATATATATTCATCAGAAACAATTCTCAATTTATAGTATTGGCTAAGTTATCAAATTTGTTTAAAAGAACACCGATAATCCATAACAATCGTTGAAGTTATTCTAACGAAGTAAAATGTGTCGCATGAGAACAAAACCCTACAAAATGAAAGCGCTTCTCTCTCCCCCCGAAGTAAGTAAACCCTAAAATTCAACTAGTAGAAGCATAAATTATTATAAAATAGGTTTATCTTCAACTTATCTGAGTGGAAAATCTTGTAATTAATCCACAAATAATTCTATGTTCAGTTCATCAGTACATCAACAAAAGGTATGGTTTCCAATTTCCAGTTCCGAGCATAGAATTACATAATAAAATCAACAAAAGCGAGTCTAAATCTGAAGAAATCTATATACCTGCTGAGTAGTAATTGATGAAAGCAACCTTGCAATCAGGGGTTCTTGATTCTGAACTTGTTTCCTCCGCTGTTATCCGTTTGTTCTGATTAGAGATTAATAAGCCAGAAAACGAGAATCAGGCAGCATTGCAACGGATATTCCCATCAACAAAACGCTGCCGGTTTATAAATGTGCACGAACTACCCTTCAACTTTGTTTATTCGACTTTTGATGTTGAAATTTGCAAATACCCTACAAAATGGTCCAAACTCTTTGAAAAACTCGTTACTTTTAAGTAATTTTAACATGCAAACTGACCACCAAAGCATTCTCTTATTGCTACCACTTTCATAATTTGGTTATTAATATTAAAAAAACATTTTTTTAAAAGTTGTTATAAATAGCATGTTAAATTAGAGAAAAGAAAAGAAATTAGATGGTTGAAAACTTTATAATAGAGAGATAAATAATTTTGGTTAAAATTATAATATAGTTAGTATTAAAATTACTAAATAAAGTAATTGTTGAATTTGGACATAAAACATTTTGAGTTTTCAACACCAATGTTTTGACTAGTGGTTGTAGGTACAAAAATCAATTATCGAGATGCCAGTATTTTTTGGAGCATTTGGTACGTGAGACAGGACAGACATGATATAACAAAAAGTTATTGTCACACTTTTGGCACGACAATTAGATTGGTGCATGATAGATATAAGTGGTAACAATATGGAAATTTTTCAAAATAGGTGGAACAAAGATGAAACAAGATGCATAGATTACTAAATTACCCATATCAAATTAAAACCTTACAACCGTCCATAATTCTTTCATGTGTCTACCCCTCTTGTGAGACGTCTGCATACCAAAGTCAACCCTAGACTAAGGCGCCCGTTTACCGACATAAACTAGATAAATATTTACCGGGTAAAAGTAACCTTCCTTCGTTATCTTACTAGGTAAGATCCCCGGTCATCAATATAATAGTACAAACGTCTGTCTCTTATTCGTAAATGCTAACCGGGTAAGAGCACCACCATCACATACCAGGTAATTAAGATCCTCGGTTAGTAAATTGGCACAATAAGATTGTTGTTAAAGACCACCATCTCTTACCCGTAAAGAAGCGATAATCGATTAACAAACATCCTCTAAAGAAGCACACCTTTGGCTTTGAATACATGGTAACTCGTTTAATATTTTTATCGCTCTTCGAAACAAAAAAACTCGGATTAAATCAAATGAGGCTAGTATCCCACCTGGAGATGGGGTGTATGATGTAAGCACACCTCAACTCCAACCATTCAAATAATAAGGTAACCTGTATAAATAGATAACAAATGCATGCTTCTGCTACAAACCATAATACCAAACCTCAGAGTTAGCTACTACATCCTGGCAACGCTAAAAACCAACCTGCAAGTCCTTTCGCCAATCCGATGGGACCCGTGGCACCTAAAGACTAACCTTACCCTAGAGACCCAATCGGGTGCTAATAAGGCCTCTAGACAGATGTAAACTATATAGTAGACATAACTGTAAAGGTATTTAACATGAACAGGCAGGCATAGCACATTTACATCAGAACAGGAAATAAACAAAAGCACAATCGAACACAGCAATACTGCCGAATCCCAGCTTTTATGCCATTAACTTTAAAATGGTAAAAGTGTATTCTGCTTTATAAAATATTTGAATTGGCGTCAATGAGTAAAACTGCAAATGGACCATCACAACATGAAATGGTGATAAGAACTGAGAATAGAAGATAATCAAGGCTATCAAATGGCGATTTGTTATAAACGATGACAACAACCACAACCTGCATCGTCTTCATTATCCATGACCCTGTCCAAGTCCAACAATGCTCTATAAGCACATTCAGCACTCATCCGGTAACCTGTTTTTTAAACATACATGAACATAAATTAGAAACTGACACCCCTATGTGATATATGTGCATCACAACATTCAAGAATTAAGATTTACAACATAATCTAACTCATGGAAAGGCTGACAAAATGCATATAAAATAGAAAAATAAAGTAGAAAGACTTGCAACAGCACTAGACCATAGCAGGAAGAACTGAACACAGAAAGATAAAAGAACAACACACAGTGGGGGACTGAAGAAATTACTGTCATTGGATGAATTTTTTACCCTACTAACTTTTCAGCCTCCCTCAACAGTTCCCCGGCTATTACCACTTCTGAAGTAGTCCCATCACCAACTTCATCATCTTGCACTTTTGAGATGTCAATTAAGAAACCTGACAAAGTAGGTTAACCTTTTTTGCTGGAAACCTCAAGTACACAAGCACCCTTTGCCACCACATCAAGTTTGCACAGGGAAACTCCAAAACGTAATCTACAAGCAGTGGCAAAAGTTATATAATAATAACATAAAACTGCTTGCTATTACCAACTTCCGTTTCACAATGACATAAACAGCTCCTGAATCATGGAAAAACTAGGAAAAGTAAGCAGGTGAAACCAGAGTGATTGAAACAATTCCAAGGATACCAATAAGGACCTTAGCAGCAGGGTTGTCAATATGGAGAGACTTCTAAATAGTGGCACCGTCATTAGTCACAGTGACACTGTGTCCTCTACCTGTGGACTGTAGTATTATGTCCTGCAATAAAAATGATTAATTACACATGTATGCAGATCACAGAGTCACATATTACCGAAGCAGACTTGGATGTAAAAGGAGACTGACCATTCCTTTAGGCCCTAAGGTTGTTTTTACCAAGTCAGCTATCGCCATGGCACCAACAAAGGATGCCTGAACCATGAAGATAAGTTGCATCCAGTAAATCAGTAATAGTTACTTACAAGAAAGCAAAACACATGAAGTTGCTACTAAAGTGCAGCTGTGCAGGAGGAGTGATAACATCTAGGTCTAAGAGATAGAAAAGATAACAACACAAGGACTCCACTTTTAGACATTGCAGTGCAGACCCAATGCACACTCTGTCCCTCCCCTCTAAATGTTAATGACCAAATTAAGGTGTCACTTTCTAATATCCCTTTCTCTGTGATCCTGATCAAAGTCGTTAAAGGCTCAAGCCGCACTTAGGCGCAATGGGTCCCGGGGCCTAGGTGTGAGGCGCGGTCCACACGAATGCGAGGCACATCTTACCAATGTATATACACACACAGTTACATATAACAAGTCTCCAATGCAGCAACCAAGAGTACTTCGATGGGGGCAAAAAGGTTTAAAGCATGAGCCGTGGAGAAGTTTTAAGGTCCGGGTATTTATAGAGAAGGAGGCTTGAAGTTCTAAGGACTTTGATATTTAATATTAGGGTTTAACTTATCTCATCTATTTAATAACACTTTCTTTAAAAAATCTATTTAATAACACTTTCTTTAAGAAATCTATTTAATAACAATTTCTTTTATTTAATAACACATTCTTTAAGAAATCTATTTAATAACAGTTTCTTTAAGAAATCTAGGAGATGAGAAAACTTAGGTTTAACTAGGTATTTAGTAACTCCTTACGAGGGCACCTAGGCCCACGAGCGTCGACTTGAAAAACACCCCAAGACCTTGAGTCTTACTAGTCTTAGCGGCATGACTATGATTTGAAAGACTTCCACAAGAATAGGAGCGAGTATCCATCTAATTTAAATGATGCGGTGCGGGTGTGGTCCAGAAAAAAGCCTTTAACTAAAACCTATGTGTATATATGTGTCATGTCATGTCATGTCATGTCATGTGAGGCTTATAACTTCAAGTATATATATCTCCACAAATGCATTTGCTTATTTTTTACATAGAAACAACGCCCAGGCCAAAATGACGAAGAAACATACTTGTTTTCCTCCAACTCTCGTAACATCACAGAAATACCCAAAGTTCTCCGCTCCAGATGATGGGAAATGTTTTTATAAATTTATTTTATTTTTCTTTATTATAGTAATATATTTTAAATTAGGGTATTATACTTTTAAAAACCCATCCATTATAATAATTGATTACCTATAAACTTCTTTACTTAGACTTTAATGAGGCGAGGTGAGATGAGATGGATGATACATCATTTTAATGACATGGTTAAAAAAAATTCAAATTATTAATTTCATTTTTTCGTTACTATAATTTAAAAATATAACACTTCTTATTTTATTTTGTTCAAAAAAATATATCTTTTGAAGTTTTTTTAAGATATTAGCGAGATAAAATCGTGACCTACAAATTTTTAATATTGTAATATTAATGAATAATTTAAAAAAAAATCTAATTAATTTAAAATATTTATATGTCAAGTAATTTTTTTTAAACAAGTAT